CGCAAAACTCAACACATATACATAGTGTATAGGGTCTTTCGAACTTTAACGTGATGTTAAGAAACTTCTAAAGAAACTTTCCTAAAAATGCTGATTTTTGAAAGGCATTTTAGGCACTTCCGAAAGGGCTGGAAGGTTGGAGGGAATACATCGTGTAGAGGAACCCTCAAGCTCTGACGTGGAGAAACTCTAAGAAAGTTAATTAGATAACTAGATACAGAGTGTTTTCCACACCATGTTTTCAAATTTTCCTAAAATTGCTCATTTTGAAGATCATTTTAAGGTACTTTCAGAAAGGTTGAGGGGCTGGAGGGTACGCATCTTGTAGAGGAACTTTCTAACTCTATTTTAGCGCGGAGAAACTCTAAGCAAGTCAATTACTTCGCTAGATACAGAGTGTTTTCCACACTATGTGTTCAAATTTTTAAAACTGTTCAATTTTGAAGGGCATTTTGTGGCACTTTCAAAGAGGCTGGTAGGTAGGACGGGTATGCATCTTGTAGAGGAACTCTCCCGCTCTAACATGACGGTAAAAAAAAGGTAAAAAGTAAAACAATTTACGAGATACTGGGTGCTTTCCACACCATGTTTTTATAACGCTTCTTGAAACGGCTACTCTTTAATTGATATTAAAAATAATGATATACCTATACAATTATCGAAATAAAAACAAATGTACCTGCACACGCGAGTGAAGAACGCGGATCAGTCACCGTATCAGCTGACAATCGGCCCGAAACTGCTAGCAGTCCGCTAAACTATCTTCTCTCCCGGCCAGTATGGTGAAGGTCGTGCTGATATAGACCGGATAATACGTAGTACCGTAATCTAGTCTTCAATGCAATAAACAGTATAAACAAATATACTTAGTAGTAATCACGACGAATGTTAAATATACGGTAAAGTTTTTGAAGGAATTATATTAAGTTATGGAAATAAATTACGTAAAACCAATCAGAGTAATACCAGGTATAAATAGGTTTTTCTACTTCCACCTATAAACACCAGTTTTTCCACGGTTTTTGAACTCAAAAAGTTGTACTTTATATACGGACGGCCAAGTCGTATATAATATTCATTATGTACTTGCATTATGCACGGGACGGAGCAGCCGCCTGCGCATTTGCCTACGGAGCAACACAATGCGGTATGAAATGCCATGCGACGTCAGTCAAACACGTCAAAGCAGGCGCTGGCCTGAACGTCACATGGGGCGGCGCGCGGCACGGCATTTCTAACCTTACGATTTGTAGTAGTGTGCAAGCAAATTTCGAAGCTTTAAAATACAAAAGTTGAAATACAAAAACCGCAACGTGGAACTAGAGTGGAAGTAGCAAAAATAGCGTAAGCAACACGTGGCTAAACGATATTAAAAACTCGACTGATTAACCGCTCGCTACGCTCGCTCTCAATCAATTTCATCTGTAATTCCTTTGTTTAGCCATTTGTTACTTAATATTCTATTACTTCACGTTACCGAAATTTTATTTCCAATGGCATATTCAAAGTTATACATAAACCGCACCCAGGTTTCGTGCCTATAATCGGTGTGTTTGGCGATAACTCCAAACATCTTCACGGCCCAGTGTTAGGTACTAAGCCGTGTTTTACCAGTGTTTTAAATACATCCTAAAAACACGGTGAGATGTTGATTTTAAATCGCCTCTTACGATTAAGCTCACAACATTGCTGTGGTAAAATTCTAATGCCGAAACCACACGGCGGCCAATGGCATATATGGTCAAAGTTTAGAAACTCAGAACGTACATTATTTAAACCTTTTAAAATACTTACTAGACGGGTAGAGTCGATTCCAATATACGCCAACAGCTAAATACTCGTGTATCCGTCTAGTGGAAACTCACGCCCAAAACACATACACATTTATGTCTGTTAACGTTTTCAAAAGTTGGAATTAATCAGTAAACAGATGTGTTATCCATAAATGAAGATGCCGAAATGAATCGTAAAACACCGAACTTCAATCCTAACAAACATTACAAGTAGAGTCCGACTGAAACTGGCTTTTCTTTCGATAACAGCCTGTATAATAGTTTCTCTTGATAAATTGTTAATTCCTAGTACTGCGTTATTGTATAGAATTAGGTTTGTGAATAATTTGTTAATAAAGATGTGCTGAAAATGCTTTTGACTTGTATTATTTGTGTAGTCCTCTCTATCTTTTCAGATACGGCTTTTAGAGAGGCGACCCTTGGAAACAAGTTCTTATAAGGAGTTCTCCCCACCTAAGGTATGGTTAAAGTGGTCGAGTATCCTAGGGCTGAGGAATAGTGGCAACGTAACCGTAGGACGGGCCGGGAGCAGTTATGCAGTTTTAGAATAATACGCCGTCAAAAATTGGAAAATCCGAATCATTCCTCCTTTTCTATTCCCCTGTACACTTGCTTCTATATTGTACTCGTATTGCATATTTAATTTCATTCAAGTCTCTTGTATTGCATTGAATGTACATATGCATATACATATTGCGCAACAGATGCTACGTGTCACTGCGCCACGCGCCTCTCTTATCAAATGCAACTTGTTCTTATATAGGCAGATCCATTAATTTTCGACCAAAGTGTGCGCCCTTAGGTCAGCGATTTTGATGCCGATTTTTGCCTCAAAGGTACAAGAAGATGATACTGAAAATTTGGACCCTATATAATGAAATTCGGCCGATGGAAAACTTTATTAAATATTAAAAATAAAAATATATTTTATTATCTATATATATATAAAAAGAAAGTCGTGTTGGTTAACTCCTTTATAACTAAAGAACGGCTAATCCAATTTAGCTAAAAATTGGTGGAGAGGTAGCGAAAATAAGGAGAAGTAATAGGATACTTTTGAAGTGAAAACTTTTCTAAAAGGGCAACAAAACGACACCTGCTAAAAAGAGACAAACATATTTGCGTAGGCGTAATTTCTATCTTGCGGGAGAAATAAGAGAACGCATAAAGTTTTATTACCCGCAGTGCGATGTGTCAGGCATAGACGCGTGTGCCGTGTACGTGCGGCTGAAATTTAATCGCTGATGTTTCTTTGCCTGGAGAAGGTTACTAGGATAATTTTTGAAGTGAAAACTCCTTTTAGAGAACACCTTAAACGACAATTAAAAAGAAACAAACCATATCTGCTTATATGGTTTAGCCTACGGGGAGGCGGGTAACTTTGCCACTATTCCTCAGCCCTAGGATACTCGACCACTTTAACCATACCTTAGGTGGGGGAGAACTCCTTATAAGAACTTGTTTGACAGGAATCCGCAGTTTCCAATACGTATATGGAATCATTATCAAGCAGCATTAGATCGATCTCCCCGAACAACTAATTGCTGTGAGGGTTTCCACAATGCCTTGAATTCCCTGTTCCACTGCAGTCATCCAAGTATTTGGCGATTATTTGATGGCTTGCAACGGGACATTGGGTTCAACAAATTAACATTGGCGAACGCGCAGGCAGGCCAAATAGAATTAAAAAAAAAAATACGAAAACCTGTACATTGCAGTTTCCACTGTAGTACACACTTATAATGTCGGCGACAAAATGCAATATTTAAGAAGAATTGCAAATTTGCAATAAATGTAATTAATTTTTGTTTTTTTTTTGTGGAAAATAAAATTAATATATTAATATAGTACTTATATTTGTCTCACATACTTCACATATTTCCTTAACCGCCTAGTTTTGTACAAATAAATAAAAACCTAATTGTCTAATAGATCATTTATTAGTTATTTAATTATGAAATTATTAAAAATTATGTGTGACGGGATGTTCAAAGAGTTATATTTATTACTAATTAATTAAAATAGAATGAACAAATAGTTTATTTGAAAAATCAAACACTATTAGCGTGCTAGCGAGGCCTCTTAATTGTTATATATTTGTATATAAATTATTTCATAATTAATATTCATTGTTTAAAATAAATAAAAAAAAACAAAAAAAAAGTGAGCAATTGTCCGTGTGAGCAAAAGTCACTGTGGGCAATTGTCAATGTGAGCAAAAGTAACTGTGGGGAGTATTCCTTGTGAGCAAAAACCCTGTGAGCAACTGTACGTGTGCGCAGTTATGACTGTGGGCAGTTGTCTGTGAGCAATTGTCGTGTGAGCGATCGTCTTGGGGGAAAAAGTCCGGGAACCGTATCGAACACCCAAAAATGTCATTTTTTTTCTGAAAGATAATTAAAATTAATGAAAAGTATAACATATTCCAATACAAATAATCTAATGCAAGAATGGTTAGCCTATGAGGTCGGGTTCAGTTGCAGGACGCCTAAAACAAACTTGTTGTTGCACTTTCTAGGGTTTCCCTCGAGCAAATTACAAATTACACAATCATATAAAAAACGGTTATCCCAAGAAGTCGGGTTTAGATGTTGAATCATTCGAAGCAGCAAAAATAACAGTCACCCAAAACACAAAAATGTCTTTTAACGATACCCATTTCAATACAGTGGAATCCCGGTAATCCGACAATAACTTTGCAGGGCAGTGTCAGATGAGCGAATTTGTCGGATTATAGAAAACTGCCTATGACCCCTTACAGTCCGGAATTTTTTTCAAAAGAGTACCTTGAATTCCGACAAATTACAAATCCTAAAGTACAAACATATGGGATATGACTATGTCGGATTACAAGGTGAGCCGGATTAAACCGTGTGCGGATTACCGCAATTCCACTGTACTTACAATGTAGACACTGAGTCGACACTGTCGACACTGAGAGGGCGATTTCAAACGCCAAACCCATAAAACAAGCAAAAATCAGTTCTTCGAAACGAAAAAAAAAAGCATTTTTGGTACCCATTTGTGGAATGCTCCCAGAAGTTATGTAGAGAAACAATAGAAAACTGCAATCGTTACAATCTGATGAATGTGCAAGGTCTATAAATATTAATAACAATTAACACAAAATTAACGCAGAAATCTGAAAATTATATAGTTTCAAGTGCGAGAAGAAAAAAGAATCTTCTTAAACTTTAAACTCACATGTCATAGTCAATATTCAAATTATTTATTTTCAAATTGATGCCCCTGATTCTCAAAAAGTGTCACTTTATAATTTTGTATGATTTAGTATGACAATCTAAATATGAATTCCAAAAATCGTAATGGCATTTTACTGATTCAGCCAAATACAGCGCCAAAATCTGATGAACTCCATCCATCCTGAGTTTGTTCTGCAAGGACATCAGCTATATTGGCAGCCCTTTGTCGTGTAGACGCACGTTTGCAGCCCTTTGCCGGTCTCCGTTTCTTTTCGTTACGCATGGCTTCTTAGTGCGGCATCCCGCCTTTTGCTAGATTTCTTCGATGTCTTGCATTTCTTGTGTTTCGCTGGGGTGGCCGATCGGAGATAGCTCTCTATCTGCTTTAACAATTTTTTACTCGCATATCAGAGCAACTCTTCGATTTGGAAACACGAGTCTTGCACTTTGAAGCTGCATTTTGCGTTTAGAAGTCCGTGCAGATTTCCTGCAGGCCGATCGCCGGCGGTTTGCGATTTTTTGGAGCCATTACTTATTAGAAATTTTCTGCTTTTCACGATTTCACGATTTTTGTTTTATAATAAAATATCATTGCCTGCCTGGATCTTAATTCTAATTAATAATAAAGAGCCCTCTGTAAAATTAAAATAAAACTACTGAAGTAAACAATTGCATTATTTGCATATTATTTCATAAATTATTTTTGTTTGTAATTCCAACTATCGAAGTGTTTGTTGGGCCATGTAAGTACTGCAGCTTGGAGAATGAATACAAAGATTGTGCATGAGAATTACCGATCTATAAAATTTTATTCTATTTTTTTAATTCAAATTGTAAAATTAAATAATGTACAATCAGAAGAAAACGAATTTGAAAACAGTATGCAAGTGACCCTGTAACTGTATGACCTCAAGAAAAGAGCTGATATAACGTATTGAAGATAAATCCATTGACATGTCAAAAATATTAGGAAAAAATGGCGTAGATAATAAAAAGTAAATTTCTGTAGCAATTTGAAAGCGATTAAGGGTGTAGGAGCCCCACACCTTTGTCAAGAATGCAGCTTACTCCAATTTCAAACATTTGTTTATCTTAGTTAAAGTTTTGTAACCATTAAAATTATTAACAATCGATTTCTTTTGAAATTTATTTTGTCTTAGTTCAGTACATATTTGATGCACTTTAATAATAAATCTTAAAATAAGCGTATTCCTTTTATCGACAAATAATAAATTAAAACTAAGAATCAGATACGCGTGACACACACACACTTCTTCGAATATTAAACGTTAATGAAGACGTGAATAATGGCACAAATCATAATTATAAAACTCTAAAAATCCAGTCGTGCTACAGAACACTGACAGTGAACTTAAAGCATGTCTTAGGCTATTCAATTATAAGTAGGATTTCAATTAGACACTAAATTAAAGCTGCAAGATGAACTAATGTATCTCATACAAAACAGTTCAAAAGTTTAGCGATCTAGCCTTTAAATAAATTTTTGGCAGGTTTTAAAATAAAATGGTAAACAATCGAAACATTTACAATGATTATGTTTACAATTGACCAGCAAAGTCGAACTGTCAGTGCTCTCAGATCAATCCCACTTCATTTACATACACACATTCTAGGAACAAATCTCAATAAAAAAAAACGCAAAACATGCGCTAATCACGGCAGCGATATCACGCCCAAACCCACACCACCCTCATGAGCAATCATGTTACTTGAGTACGTCCACGTGTTTTTATTTGGGTCGTACACTTCAACGGAAATAAGATTAGAAATGCCGTCGTAGCCGCCGACCGCCCACAACATGCCCATATTAGCTGTAAGTGCTACTCGACTGCGTTGGGCATTCATTTGGTCTACAAACTGCCACTTGTTCGTGTTGGGGTCGAACATTTCCACGGTGTCCAAGAAAGAGCTGCCGTCGTAACCACCACATGCGTACAATTTCCCATCAAGCATTGCCACCCCTAGACGACAACGTTTCGTAAGCATCGGCGTGGACTCTGTCCAGTGGTTTGTATTGGGGTCATAACGCTCGACAGAATCAAAGATGGACAATCCATCATGTCCACCAATGGCGTAAACGTAACCCTGGCAAGCAATCACTGCTCCTGCACTGCGAGATTTGTTCATCGGCGCTAAGGTGCGCCAAGTGTTGGTGAGCGGATGGTAGCGTTCAACTGAACTAAGCGAAGTTACGCCGTCGTATCCCCGCAGACGTAGATCATTTCTCCTAAAGCAGTAGCTCCCAAAGCGCTAAAGAGATAAAGTATATTCCAAAGACATACTTTCGGGTAATAAATATTTATTTAGTTACAGAAAAGTTTATACCTGCGTTTGCATTGCATGGGTGCTACAATCGTCCATTCTTTCTTGGTCGCATCATAAACCTCCACACTCTGAAGACGATCCCTGCCGTTGTACCCTCCAAATGCGTACAATTTGCCTTTCAAAACAGCCACCCCAAGCGACTGCGTAGCATAGACATCGGCGGCGCTATTTTCCAAGTCTTCGTGCATGGATCACAATACTCTACGGTGCTGAGCGAGTCACCATGCTTATTCAACCCACCGACCACGTAGATATGCCCGCGTACTTCACAGGCTCTTTGGTTTGTCCGAAAACTCTGCAGCAAATGTCTTCGCTCAGGTAGCAGATGATAAACCCGTGCCTCATCAAGTAAATCGCGACACTGATGTGAAGAACGAATGAGCTCTTCTGTTGCTACGCGGTCCGTGAGATACATTGGTGAGAGCAGCGGTAGGCGCACCAGAGCGAGCAACTCTGGTAAATGCTGATGTCGCGATTCATTCGACTTCACCCAGCGCATACACGCTTCAAACACCTGCTCTTCAGTCTCAACGCGCAGTTCATTTCTTGAGAGAATATTCTTAATGTCGTCAATTGATAAATTCATAAACTCTTCATGCTGTGACACTTCTGGGAAACATTGTTCAATATACTTGTCAGCACGCTGCACCAATGTGGGTAGCTCATTGTATCAGCAAATTGCCGGATGCCAAGTGCATTTTGTGGATGTAATCTAGCAACAGAAAACAAGACCAGTGTGACGTTCTATGGATGAAACCAACCTGCAGTACAAATATATTCATATACATGCAGTGCATGACAAGTTAGTTACCTTCTTAGTAAAAATTAGCACAAGCATCCCTCACTTTATTCAATTGTAAAATGAAGCACCCATCATGATGATCTGAACATTATTCTTGTCGAGGGTGATCTTGCCTGAGTATGCAAAATTAATTAAAGCTTCTAGTGCACATGCATCCACTCCATGCATGATTATTTCCTGCTGCCTGCTCTCCACCATGTCATGTGTAAACATTGCATGAAAATAAGGTATAGTGGAGGCTAGTACAATCTTGTGAGCACTGAATGATTGATCCTCTATCTAAAATGCAACAATGAGTCAGTCTGTTCCATTGTGTGTATTTTTACACGCTTATCACCTTGAGCACGACGTCACACAACTTTCCTTGCCGTCGGATTTCTTCCATTAGAGGGAACGCCGAGGCGATGCCGTCCTGCACAAAGACGGTGCACTCGTTGGTAGTGTCGAGTGGATACACAAGTTCGTCGAGTATCGCCTCCGATGAACTCCCCGCACCCGACTCCAAGATGTGCTCCGTGTTCCAACTTGCCATTGTTTGTTAGCGCAAAGCGCAAATAAACATCAAGAGCTCACTGAACCCACAATTGCCTACTGCGACTATTTATCGCAGAGGTTAGATCGGTATGCGCCGAAGTTAATTCGAATCTAGTTAATCGTTCGATGCGTTCGATGGCAGAAGCATACTTCGCCACGCTGCTCCGATTGAGCAGCCACTACAATTGTCGCAACAGCGTTTATCCGTCGAGCGAGGTACGCCGCTTCCCCGTCGGGGATGAGCAAGTCGACTGGCGATGCCCCTACCACGAATACAGGCCGCCACACTACGAGTCGCCGAACCTCAAAAATAAACCCTGGTCCGATCCAAAACTAGGTAAGTGGGCCGCTCCGCACGTCCTGCTCGCCAATGACCCAATTTATTGCGCGCGTTTGCAGGTGTCGCATGCTTTCAGCCACAATGGCACCAATTGGACGGCGGGATTGACCGGCGCAGTCATGAAAAAGATAAGTATCAGGTTCTTGGGGCGTACCGCGTAATCCAGTGGGCCGTACTGGCCTCACTGGTCGCGGGCTCCTTGGTAGATGGGGTCCTAACCATGCGGCTGATCCAGTGGTAACACGTTGGAAACGGGAGGACGAACCATCCCGATCAATTATCCTTCACCACGAGACCAATTTGCCTATTCTACAATTTTGCGCCATCCAGCGTCGGGACAACAACCAATGGGCCATCCCTGGTGGTATGGTTGATCCTAACGAGCAGGTGACCCAAACACTGATGCGTGAATTCATGGAAGAGACGATGAATTCCCTGGATCAGAGTCCAGAAAACAGTGAGAGTATGAAGCGATTGGTGATAGAGTTTTTCAGTGACGGAAAGAAGTTTTACGAAGGGTATGTGGACGACCCGAGAAACACGGATAATGCGTGGATGGAGACAGTTGCGTCGAATTTTCACGATGAGACTGGGGAAATTGTTGGAAAATTGAACTTATCCGCAGGTGACGATGCAAAGGCTGTGCGCTGGATGGACATCGACAACAGTTTGGCATTGTTCGCTAGTCATAAGCACTTTATTGAATATGTAGCAAAAATGCGGGGCGCGCATTTTGGATAGGCAATACATATTTTAAAAAAAGCGAAAAAATGAAAGTATATGGCGCGCATCGATATAGCGCAAATAAAAATAACTACATACTGTGAAAGATACATAGGATCGCATTTGTAGGAACATTTTGCACTGCGTTGTTATTGTTAAAGTTATTCATCTTGTGTTTATGGTTACTTAACATAAAATTGTCTTTATGCCTGAAGAATAATTGTTTCACGTGCCTTGGTACATAAGCGACTTAACTAATTCTGAATATACTAATTTGTGCTTTATAAATTAATCAGAAAAGTTCAGCTCTTGAAGTGGATTGTTTACAACAAATGTTACTAAGTTTTCCATTACAACTTTCCTAAACAACAAACCATTTCGAATATGTACTTTGTGCGCTCATTTCCTCGCGCATTCACTGACGTCGAAATATCTATGGTTTCGCTTCGCTTTTCAAATGCGATTCAGTGTTGCGGGCCCGTCGTCGGGTACCGCTCGCATTACAACTTCATATCCATATCAACCTTTAACCCGATTCACCATAAAAATAATCGACATGATTACAGCGATACGTTAACTTCGCACGAATTTGCGTTCGTTTAATGACTCCGTTTCGATTTCCAATCGTTTTCCGCGCTCAAATCATTTGCATTTTGTTTCAATTTCGGCTCCCGAGTGATAAGTCTGAGAAGAAACCAGCTGTAGGCACTAAGTTCCGCACAAACTTCAACACATTCGCACTGGATTTAAATGGTCAGTACAATACGTAGAAGTAATTTTCCCCGAAAAATCTAAATTTAACAACATAGGAAAACTATAAAATCAGCTGATTTTGATATGTCTAACATAACCTGGGATTATATTTACTTCTTTTGTTGTTTTGGAACTGTTTGTTAGTTTGATGCAAAACAATCGCCGAGGAGTTTCGACTAAGTAAATTTGATCTATTATGAAATATATGTTTAGAGTCATTTGGATATTGTGCATTAATAAACCTTCGGACTAACCTCAACTCATTGCCGATTGTTTGCAGCGCTTCCAACTCAGCAAATGAGCTCTGTTATCGAATATCGTACCATGTAACAGCGCGATAACTAGCTAGATAATGTTACTAATCAATGTTAAATCTCAAGTAAGCAAGGCCTATTTTCAATCGAAAACTTTCACGTTTTCAAAGAGCACAAACGTCATTCAACATGCCGCAAATTCCTGTGCCTCTCGGCGAGCTGCAGATCCAGAAGAAGCCCCTTGCTGACACCTTTGTCTGCACCTATGTGATATCCGTATTGGGCGCGTTCGTCGCCGAGGTGATCACTTATCCACTGGATCTCACCAAGACCCGGCTGCAGATACAGGGGAGATCGCAAACAAGATCGATGCAAAGATCACAACGGCGCCGCATCGCGGCATGTTGCGCACAGGCATCGGCATCATCCGCGAGGAGGGCTTCTTCAAACTGTGGCAGGGCATCCCTGCTCAGTTCGTGCGTCATAGCATTTACTCTGGCTCCCGCATGGCGGTGTATAAGTTCCTACGCGATAAGGTGTTCACGCCAAATCCGAACGATAACTACCTCCCGTTATGGAAATCTGCATTATGTGAGTAGGCAGCAAAGGAGAGTGCAAAAGAACAGTATTTTCTCTCGTAGGTGGTGCATCGGCGGGGACTTTCAGTCAGATCATTGCAAACCCAGCTGATGTGGTAAAGGTGCAGCTTCAGATGGAGGGCAAGCGCCGGTTAATGAATCTTCCACCGAGAGTGCACGGCATTCGACATGCTTTCGTCAAAACAGTGCAAGAATCAGGAGTACGGGGTCTATTCAAAGGTAGATCCGAATATACTTATATTATAACACTGACTTTGACAATACCAATATTTTTAGGAGTCGTGCCGAATGCACAACGAGCAGCTCTGGTAAACCTAGGTGATTTAACAACGTACGACACTACGAAACAATTTCTACTGCGTCATACAACGCTGCACGACGGTACGGTGGTGCATGTGATGGGCAGTCTCTGCGCTGGATTCGTTGCCGCCGTTTTAGGAACACCTGCCGATACGATCAAGACACGGATTATGAACCAGCCTGTTGATGTACATGGTCGGGGCGTATTCTACAAGTCCACCTTTGAATGTGCCAGTCTTACAGTGCGCAACGAAGGATTTATGGCGCTGTTTAAGGGTTTTGTACCGAACTGGTTACGAATGGCGCCCTGGTCACTGACTTTCTGGTTATTCTACGAACAAAGCAATAAATTAGTCAACCAGATGCAACAAACGTACATGATTTAGGACTGTGCCCCGAGTCATGCGCAATCATGAGTCTTTTTGTTTGTTATTGTTTTAGTCATTCATACAAGTATTATTAAGCGATCGCAAATGTCCTGCGAAGAGGTTCTGTTAATTGATATCCTAGCGCGTTTACATACGTTTACACAGTGGTCTAAGTAGTTACAGGTGTTTGGGTATTTATTACACTAAAATCGTAAGTTCAAAGTCGGAGAAGCCATTACTGATACGCAGTTTGAGGTGTTTTATCTGTATGTAAATAATTTTGTTTATGACTAACGACGCAACTGATACCGTTAGCAATTGGTGTTGTATATGTTAATTATTTTGTTTATCGATGCAGTCAACTTTATACATGGTCTATGTATATAATTAGTGCTACTTTGTTGTTTAGATGAATATACAAACGATTATTTGTAAAGTGACATTTCGCATTCCTCTATCAGCTTTCTCTCCGTTTTTGTGTTCGAGCAACCAATTGAATTCCTCTGATGGACTCTGCACATCCGTGTTATTGGGCACGTCAAGTTGGTCCTTATCAGTCAACTGTAACGTAACGAATTCAACTATCCAAGTAAACAAATGTTACAACCAACAACAACAAACATACATATTCACTTCTATTCTGACTTTGCTTCATACGGAATTGTGCCATTTGTCTCTTCGTGTGCAGTACGCACTGGGATGTGAATGAAACAATTTCGGCACGTTCCTCTTCGTGCCACATGACCTCATATGCAGTTTTTCCAGGAATGGGCACAATCATTAGTGTCGTTTCCACCGGGGTGTCATGATCGTGATACAACTTGTTGCTCATTGACACGTACAATTTGTGCGTGTCCCTGCAATGCGAATTGTAAAATGATTGTTAAGAGAATACAACTTACGCACTTAGGAATCAACGCTGGTGCTTTAAACATAGTTTTTGTTAAGCAGTCGACTGCAACGCCTTCAAGCAGAAGCACATCGTTCATGAATTCTGTGATTACGAACACTTTGTAGCATCGTAATCTTGGTACAAACGCGCGATCAATTTGAACCAAATATCTCTCTGACTAAGCGATCGGTATAAGTGTGATTCTGCAATTATCGCCATCGCTAGGTCGATGTTACAATATTTCCATATTTTTGATTTTAACCTACGAGGTTTTATAGATTCACAGTACAAATCAAATATTTTTTTCATTTAAACCTTACCCGTTAATAGGGTTGTTAAATATAACAATGGCCTCCTGTATATCATCATCCAGTAACATGTATGCCTGAACTATTGACTCGGCATAAATGTTACAATTATATCTGCGAGATGTTAGAATTGCCTTTTCGCCAAAAGTGCTGCCAACTGTAAAGTCGTCTTCGAAGTCGTTCTCATACGACGTAGTCGACAAATAATCGACCACTGGCAGGAAGCCATATTTTCAAACATCTTACTTTTCCTTGCTCCTTCTTTGTACTCTAGTCGCAATGACCCGGAAATCACAATATACACCCCTCCGCTTTGTACCCATCTCTCATTATGATGTCTCCAGGCCGGAATCTCACTGTGATTGCTGTTTCGTACAAATATTCGATAATTTCCGGGTTTTCACGTAACCAGGGAACCTCGTTGAAAATCACTCTGGGCGAAGGAGGTTTCATTATCCGTCTGGTACGAAACTGTTTGATCCTCTCTGCCAGCATTAATTTGATGTATTCGTATTCGAGTTCGTCAACGTATCCAGCGTTCTTTAACTCGAGTAAACCAGTGTGCATTACATTTATTGTGGCAGCGATTACCTGCTTCGTTTTTATTGTGATTACAATCCAGGGACGCTCCTTCTGAGTACGTTTCATCGTACTGATTAAATATTCTCTTTCGTTCTGAATATTGATCTCATAGATTTCCCGAATTAAGTCCACATCCAATAGTTGATCTAGCATATCTAAGACTTCGCCACAAGCTACTTCCAGGGCCTTAACAGCGCAGATTTATGTTATCAAAGCAAGTACAATGCTAAATGGTTAACTTACAGCAACAATTTCAAAACCAAAGGAAACCTCTGCATCGATGCGGCGGTCCAAGGCATTCACAATTGTGGCAGCAATCGATTTACATCCCAAGTACAAATAGCTTAGACGCGCAATTGTGGCGATACGCAAAGCTAGGCTTAAATTGTACTGTGTTATACCTGTTGTGATCATAATTTCATGAAGTAAAGTTATCTCCACTACTAAGGAGATGAGACACCAAAACAACCAGAGATATTGTTCGCAATTGAAAGTGTTAGCCAGCCCGAAAGCCTAAACGCAAAGTCGATGATAAAGATTCCAATTAAGCTGCAATGGCATACCGCTGCATTGCTGTCCACCAGTTCAGTAATATAATAAATGGCGTATACAGCATATCCGAACACGACAACCGATAATAGAATGTCGTACAGAATGTGGTGTGTTAAGTAGAAAAATAGCGTTGGAACGCATTATCAGGCGGTATCACCTTCTTTTCTCCTTTGTATTTACTAAAACATGTATGTAGAAAGTGAACGATTGCCTAAAACAAACAAATTAACTGGATTAATACTGCAATCTTGGAAAAAGTTACCAGTGGCTGCAGATACGATCTCATATTCAGTTTCGATTGTTGAACTCTCTCATCTAGCAATAGATTAATATTGTAGAGTAAAAGGTGAACACTATACACATTAATGGCGCCTGATTTATAGTGCCTGTTAATCGCAATCTTTTTGCTTTAAGAATCTTGGTTCGTGCCTCCCTATGAACAATGAGATATATACCTAGTATATTGATGGTACGAATCTGGAAAAGTTACCCGCAAAGATCTTCTACGTCTTTTTCTGTTAGCTCATAGGGGACCCGTCTGAGGCATTCAGGACAAATTGCTGCATTCGAGTGAAAGATCTCATCATTCTCACCGGTTTCGCCAATGTTTCTTTCATTGATGTACTCGCTGGTATGCGGGTGCTTAATGTCAGTGTTGTACCTTATTTTGTTCCAGTTGGAACCACCAATGAAACTAAGAAGATAAAGTTGTAAGATTTTATAATTCATTAGTATGGATGCTCACCTGATGTGTTTCATAGTCTGCATTATAACACTACGTGTGTACATAATGTGATTTAAGCTTAAATTCATGTTCTGGCGACGCGCGGTGGATAACTGCGCAAAACCAATAGCTCTCAGAACCATCCGCAGAGGGAGTGCATTCCCTATCATTGTAAAACGTAGAGTAAGAGAACTTCCACTGCAAGCGTCCTTCCAAGGGTGTATGTGTATGGATTGTGAATCAAAATGAACATCAGTAAAAATTATACGACCCTTTCTGCCCACTGTATCCTAGAATTAATCCCGTACGGAGGCCGTAGTCCAGATTCGATACGATTTTATTCATGCAGAATCCAAACAATCCAAAGACCATGAGTCGGAAAATGTTCAGCGTGACGTACAATATAAGCGCGGTGCATGTGACTGAGAATGTGGAGTAAGACAACACAAGTGGCAGAGTTTCCGTCACGTACAAACCCAAAGCGGCCGTCTCGACCATAATTTGCAGTATTTTCATAAAGCTTACAATGCTTCGGTCCACATCCTGCGTGACGATGCGACGTGTCTTTACAAGAAAGTAGGTGAGGACTATAATGGCGATGTTTCCAGAAACTTGCAGAAAGTACTGACAACCAAAGAATGTTATTTGTGCGAAACCTAGTATTATACATATTGCTGAATTTAGGTCGTTGTACAGTACCCCGATGAAGAGCTTTGTAATCTTTCCGACAATATATCCAGTCAGTGCTCCACCGAACACGAAAACAGTCAAACCTCGAACGTGCGCCACCCATGTGCCTGTAATGTACCCACCTTCAAGCAGGCGCAGGTATTCAAATGCGATGTAAATGATAGCGAAGATGCCAATGGATTCGACTTCTAAAATTGTAGCCGCATGCTTGTTTCTAGTCAACGCTCGGAGCATGACAATCGCGTGGCAGGGTAGCACAGGCATAAGAACCAGGGTGGCTAGTAGGACTTCAGTCCACTCCCATTCGGGATGGATGATGTACCCAATCGCAAGACACAGCATCGACGAGGTGACGAAGAGTACAATTACGCAGACCATAAAGACGCCAGGCAGAGTGTTCGTGTACAGGAATAAGTCAATTTGGTAAATGGTACAAATGGTATAAAACAGCATGAATTGATGCAGGATGTCCTGAGGTGGGGTGTGCTGTAATCCCTGGTAGTCTTCACCGGTCGGTTCCACGTAATATACAAAATGCCAATCACAATACACACGGATGCTGTGACCAAATGCGATGGAATATTACTTTTGTAACGTCGCTTCATTTTGCAAACCAACACTTCCACAAGGACGTATAAGGTTGCCATCAGGCTCAATTTTGATACGCACCATTGCAAACCGACGGTTTTTCGCGATCTCTGCATTTTGTAAGACATATTTCGTTTTTCGTAATCAAATTTGTGTAATTAATGTTATTCAATTACGTAGTCAACGAAACGACTGAAATTGCCATTCATTTGAAAGCTGTTTTCTACTGCGCACGCAATTTACGTGAAAAATCAACTCCGCCATATACAATGATTTCTGAATTTATTAAGATGGTTTCGGCAATGATTATCGGTGAACAGTCGCACGGAAACGATGTGCCGAAACCGATAATCGGTCCCCGACACAATACTCCGGACTACCTAAGAAAGATTCTCCGGCAACCAGAGACTTCCCATGTTGCTCACGCCAACCACGTGAACTTAAGCGTTGCGAAAATATTTGCGCCGCCTGTAACCAAACGTGGTACTGCTAAAAATGACTTGCATGTAATTATCATGTGAATCTTTTTCAATCGCACCAATATTTTAATTGTATTTTCAGGAGGTAAATGAGGTTTTGGAAAAATTCAAATCCTAATCATCTTAAAGTAACAAATCTTATTCGAAATTCGTCGTACTTCTTATGAATGTATTTAAAAATAAATAACTAACATATATCTCAAAAGGTGTCTTCGCATGTCACGTTTAATTTTTTTTTCACTTTTTTTAACCGAATAGCAAAACAGATTTTTTGTTCAATTTTTAACAAAATTTGTTGGCCCTGAAACAAACATCATTCTGTCTAAATTATTTGTCTCGGATGATCAAAGTAATGCTGGCAGAGCTAAAATAATTTTTTTATTTGTTTAATGTGAAAATATTAGATAAATGGAATTCCCTGAAAACAAGATGGTTTAAAAATACAATTTCCATCCAGAGTACGCAACGTATCTGACAGATACATACAGAAACAAAGCTCGCGACGTGTGAATTCGTTCGAGGAATATCTTGCAAAACTGGTTATAGTAAAACTAGAATTAAATACACCTAAATAAATATAGATTTTTTAAATATCCAAGTATTTTCAACCAGATTCCTTCATATACTATGTATCACAAACATTTACATAGCGTGCCCGCCGGCAACTATGTTGTCATAGATTTGTGTCTCGTCTGCAGCATTCGTCTTCCGATTTTCAGTACCAATGCTTATTAGGCCTTCGAGAGCACGAAGTCAGCAAGCAGCACGCGATCGCCGCATAACGACAAGCTGGCACGTAGCCGCCAGCCAAAAAGAGTTATTATTAAAACTATTTTCGTCACCTCAGATTGCTGGCGTTTTCATCATCCCAAAACCAAGAGTGTTATACGTGTAATTTTAATTGCAGCGAAGAGGAAATCGCACGAGCAGAAACGTGGAGGACAAGAAAAGGAGAAGTTTGATAACAGTTAGTCCACTTCGCCGGAGGCCCAAGAAAACCGTACTTATTAAATAAATATAATGCGCATATCGATGGGACTAGATTTGAATAAAAGTAAAGTAGTAAACTGCGATGAGCGTGTCGATGATATTAAACTCACTTTAAGTTAAGACATTTTCAGTCTTGGTTCCGCGTGTCATATCGGCCGCACAGTCCGCACAAGTTAGTAAAACGATTTATTAACGAACTATCTTAACGTCTGCGCCGATACCTCCGATACTGAGCAACTAAAGTCGGTTTTCGAAACGCGCAATACAATATTCGAACGGCGTATTGGATCGGATTAACAATTAGAACATTTTGCACACGAACACGCCGAGACTACAAAGCATCCCGATGCCACACCCACGTCTTCTTCGTGTGGTCGAAGCGATGAGCCAGCCATTGCTGCTCCAAGAGTTGGTAGCGGTCTTTGCTGAGGTATAACGGCTTGCCGCGTCTGAAAGAAAACAAAAGATTAGTTTGTTTCACTCTTAGATGCAATAAGCAAGTGGTGTACTTCAAGTCGCGATCCTCTTCTTCAAAGTCGTCCAAATACAGTGAGCCCCACAGGCAGGCGCGCTTGCCGCGTATCACAATGATGTACGTCGAGGTGACGACCAGGAAAACACCAGTACCGGCGCCACATTCCAACGAATGAGAGACTGCCTCACAGACGTTGCCTTGCTTGCAGCAGTTCTGCTTAAGGCAGACGATAGTGCCGCAGAGCAGACAGATGCTCGTCTCGGTGGGAATTTGGTGGCATTTGCGACAGGCGCGCTCGTGGTAGTACGTGAATATTTTCTCGTATTCACGCGGCAGTTGGAGGAGGCGCGGTGGCTGCCAAACAATGTGCTGTTCGATGAGTAAACTACACGCGGCAACATGATTTTTAGCAACAAACGCGCCCAACTCATTGCACCACATCGTTGGCTGGCGGTGGTGCACCTGTGCGTCGGTGTCGCTTGGCCAGTTAAGCGCCACCGCTGCATTGAAGCACTCCCAATCCATACCCTCCGTGACAAGCTCCAGGTAGTAAACCAGCCGTACAAACTCTGACTCGGGCGTACGGATGTCCGGTAGTGGCTGGTTGAAGAGGTGGTGGCGGAGTAGTGCCGCAATGCGCAAGAACGGCAGACAGAGCTTCTGCACTTGCTGCTCCAACGCAACCATGTTCACCTGCGTCTTGCCAAGAGAACTCTCATTCTCTTTGTAAGTGGGGCTGTGGAAGAGCGTAATATCGATGAGGGCCAGTGCCGCCGCAAGTGAATCGATATGCGACGACGAAGCGTCCTGGATCGCCTTGGAACGCTCGGCAACTGTTAGGCCGCAGGAAACTTGGGCGACAACTTGATAGTACATAAGGTTGTACAACATCTTCACAACGGTGGTAAAATAGGCTGCACAAATAATAAGAGAATTAAACACAATTCGTTATAATTGAAGGAATAAAAACTTACTTTGGTCTATATATAATGGTAACAGGAGAACAAATTGTAAGAACAAAGCTATGGGGTCTTTCAGGAGCAGTGGCATTTCGAATAGAAGTCCCACCATGGCGGGACATTCCACATGTGCACCACTGAGCTGTTGGAACGTTGTCGCCGCTTGTGGCCACATCGCCACCACGCGCGCGTGCACAGTCAACACGTGCAACAGAGGAACTGCAAAGAAATAGCATTGTTTGTATTTGTGGTGACACTGGGTTTTGAGAACTTACTAATGCAATCACGTTTTGGCAAAAGAGGAATAGGCGGTTCCTGTGCAATCGTCACCAGGCTACCACCGCGCTGCACTAGTTCAATCTCTAGGTTCGTCCTGGCAGCAGATGTGACAAACATGAACAGAGAGAGTTTCGACTGCAAGTCAGCTGGCGGCTTTGCATAGACCCCATTTGCGTACAGTTGGTCATATCTTCCATTGCTTTACCTATTGCTTCGGATAAATTCGTTACATCCTGCAACAACAACACAATCGATAAACACCCCATACGCCAATACAATACAATACAATACAATAATACATACAGGTGTATGACCATTTTCCCGAAGTAAACTACCTAGCTCAGTCATGACTTCGTGCATTCTCGCTGGTCTCGCACGTACAATTTGCATACAATCGCCTAATTTCGGGGCCAGCGGCATCACAGAATTCGCCAGCTGTCTACATAAAGGACAGAAGTATTCGCCCCTGAAAATATAAATCGTTAATCAGAGAACTCAACACCGTTTAGCAATTCATCGTACTTGTCAGGTGCTAATATTTGTTGACGTTGTTGCGACCGCAGCGAATTAATGTACGATTTCAAGCAATCCAAGTGAAGATGATGGCCGCAGGTCTGTACATACACACCATCCTCCCATCCAATATTGATGGACATCTTCCACGATAGCTGGCGGTGTAATAGTAAAACAATAGTGAATTATGTATTACGATTGATTGCCAAATAGCTTACCGTGGTGAAGTATCGACACAAATCGTCGCACCGCCTATCGAATTCGGCCAGCATCGTATCGTCCTTGCTCAACTTATTACGCTCATCGTCACAAGTGGGTAAAACTGAACGCTCAGAGCTAGGCGCTTTGCGTCTATGACCAAGCACGTTGGTCGCCTGCACAAGAACCACCAGACCCATCGGTTTCTTTTCCGTGGTTGGTGAACTTTGATTGCAGATAACACAGTCATACTCTTGATTCATAGGTTCCGAAGTCGTTTCAGTACTGCTCCATTCCATATCTGTTAAAAAATAATATAATTAGCCGAATAGAACTACATTTTTTTGATATTTCTTTGTAGCGTGAAATAAAACAATCGACTTACTGCTGTTGTCGCTTTCTTTGGTCGCCTCCATAAATTGTTTCTGCTTGTTAGCGAACTCCGCCATCAATTTCTGTTGTCGCTCCTTGGCACGGCGACGCCTCGCCTCACGATCCGCCAATTCCTTTCGCTTAGCTTCCACCTCGCCGTCCTCCTTCGGTGGCCAAAGACATCCGCGTGTTTCGGCAATATAGTCCTTGCATGCGGGATCAGCAGCTGCAATCTTATCCAGTAGCCTTCCAATGTAAAAGTGCCGTCGCCAAGCATCTCGGGATCAGCGCGCTTCTCAGCATCGTCAGGGTTGTAACTGTTCGGTTCTCCTGCGAGTTGCGCGTGCAACTTCAGCAGCAAAGAAATGATACTCTCATTCACTTTGCAATTACGTGAGTCGGGCACTTCCACCACTGGCGGTACCCGCTTGTAGTACATCTTGTGTTTACCACTCGGCGTCATATGGTTGCGCATTACTAACGCGTTGTCATCATTTGGCGAGTCTGTCGATGGTGGTGACTCGTCCGATTGCGTCGGAACCATCATCATCGTGGACGTGGACGGCGTTGGCTGTGGTGAACCAAACAGTTCCAAACGTAGATCCGATGGTAACGCAACCTGCATCATGCCTTCATCAGACGTAGAGGTGCTTGGTGTGATTGGGGCAAAAGCGCTGGGTACTGCAGGTGTGGAATAGGCCGTGGCGACGACCGTGATGGGCCTGGAATTGCCACCCGTCGATCCAAATTCGGATTCTCCTGCTCATTATCATCGCGTTGATACACCGCGGAGTTGCCTGCGATCACGACCTCACTAGTACCTGGTTCATTCCACTCGGTTTCATCCAGCATAAACACCTCGCTCAAGGGCGATGGTGGTTCTTCTTCATCGATGCCTCCGGCGCTTCCATTATCACTATCCGAGCTGACTACGCGCGAACCAAGGCTGCACGCAGTCGGGGCAAATTCTGGAAGCGCTTTTAAGCGTATGTAGTCCAACGTCGTACGCAAATTCTCGAACAGGCTATCCGTGGGGAACCAGTTGGTCAGGTCCATATCTTGCAATTGATGTTGGGAGGAAAGTGAAGCGGAAGACGCCGAGCACATGCTAGTATTATTAGCATTATCGGCAACTTTTTCGTTAATATCGATTGCCTGTTCCAAGAGGAAAACAATCAGTGCCATGCCGTTCTCGTTCACCAGGTTATGGTTGTCGATGGCCTTCATGAGCACGACCAGGGCCAACGCGTGAAAGACCCGCGAGCGCAAGATAAGACGTGGATCCTCATAGGCGCTACTACATTCAGAAGGTGTTCGGAAGGGTGGCCATGGCGAGCCGCTTTTAATTTGTTTGCGTGTCGCGCATAATCCGCATACCGATCAAGCGACGTTTGAAAATCGCGGCGATGTACAGCACGCAGAAGTACATGAATAGGATCGTACTGCGACTGCCATACGGCCGCCTTGGGCACATACATGCCCTGCTGCATATTGCCGGTGGCTTCAAGTGCAGGTGCACGGTAATCAGCCACTTCTGCGAGCAAAGCTTCAAAATCTCGTGACTGCGACGTCCCGCAGCGCTCTGGCATCAGCTCCATCAATTGGGAATGGGTCTTATCGCTCATGCATAACAGTGTGATCATTTCGAGCCGATTGAGGCCAGTCTCGCTAAGGCCCAGATTGGTGCGCACGCTGATGAGGGTAGCGAGGAAGGTGAGCATGCTTTCCACCATCGGCGGTTCTTGTTCTTCTTCGATGGGCAGATGATAATCACGAGTGAGCGGATGGGAATCCAAAGAAGTCCATTCGCGAACGTGGAATTTGTCAATGATGATATTAAGAAAGGATTCGGCAGGGATTCGCGTGCAGCAGATCTGCAGGAGGTACAAATCGGCATCCACCATCGAATTGCAGAAATTGCACTGGATGTACGTCATTGCTTGGCCTTTTATTTGCAAACCATTTCGCACCCACAGACCATTGATAATTTCATAGAACGCGACCTGCAGATGAGTAATAAATCATGATTATTAACTAGAAAATTATCGCTAAGTTGAACAATATACAAAAACATACTATTTTAGTGTTAAACTGATAATATTCAACAGTATATCGTGGATCAAGGTCGGAAATGGTGTTTAGAGACACGAACTGATGGCTTATTCATTTTCGCCCATAGTTCATAAAATATTTCTTCTACCACATCTATTAAAATTACAAATGATAGGATTAAATTCAATTTTGGGGATAGTTAAATGTGTTGTCCCTCAATCTTTCATTAATCATAAAAATGATATCTATACAAAAACAGGGCCGCGTGCGTCTGTCGATGAACCAGGATAAACATGTGCTTTCCCAACCGCAACTGCAATCAGCGATGCCTTCCGGCAACTTGACTTTGACTCACCATGATTATAGTTTCCTGTTGGCACTTCCGGTACATTTGTCACGGATGCAACTGATAACTACTCATAAATGTGTAGCGCATTAAAATCTTCATAAATACGAGTTAAGATAACTGGCGTAGACAAAAAGTTGAAGATGCGCGACTAAAGAGCATCAACCTAAAGTATAAACATAAACATTGATACGAGAAACCAAACTAGTGCGAATTCCATGAATCGACGCGTTGCGCAATTGAGACAAAGCCATCAAGCACCTCCCGCGCCTTTGGAGCCCCAAGACCCGCCACAACAGGAGACGGACGCGCACATGCTCTCCACTTGCAGGCGCTCCGAGTGTAACTCAGTCGCTGGTTCGCCGCGCGCTGGGCAGGTCGCAGTTAGTTTCGAGTTTGCAAAGCGCGAAACATGCGCCTCGCACTTTGCTAGTCTTCGCGACGTACGCGGGCCACGTTACCACGCTCGCGGTCCCGCTGAGTACTATCCTTGGCTATGGTGTGACGGCAGTTAGTTTGATTCACAAGGCGCTAGAGCTAAGCGAAGATCTCATCACCAGCGATGTGCCATTGCCAATTATAGGGAAGCGCGAGCGCACGCTTAAAACAGCATAAGCGCGGTAGCGCGCCAGATCGACGCCTTGGAACGGCAGGATATGAGCACTGCCATGCGTACCCTAACAATCCTGCAGAATGGTCTGCCACAGCGTATAGCCCTGGAGCTAAAGTTAAACAATCTGAAAGACTACTTCAATCGCCTGGACATCTACTACAACCGTATGAAGCAGTACACTGACGAACGCGCTCCGGCCGCACGCTTTCGTCGTTTCGAACGGTACACGCTCGAAAACTTCGCTGGCGAGGCAATTGCGCACAACCCCAATTCGGTGGTGAGCCTCATCGAGCGTGTGCACGAGTACTTCAAACCGGAGCGGAAAGGCATTCTCAACAACGACATTGTTAAACCACTCGAGCACCTTGGCGATGTAAGTAACGCGCGCATGCGCAGTGCAGTACCATATAGTACCCCAAGCTGTCGGGGTTTCCCCGTTTTATTATCACGTCCTAAAGAGGTTTGATCTTGGCGCTGTGTATATATTTTTGCGCGGAATAAAGTGTGGGCGGATAGGTAATCGGCCTCAAACGGATCGTGTGTGCACGACCAAAGGAAACGCTCGAGTTAGTGAGAAATTTTATTTTGCTTGAGTCACAAAGTATCGACCTGTTGAATACACAATGGCCATGATACCACGAAAGCCTATGAATCATACACGTGATTCAAACGAAAGTCGGGGCCATAGAAACAAATTCAAAAGAGAAAGAACGAAACGTCACAAACTCGATCAGTTGAGGTTCAATCAAATGGCCGCTAATAAACGGTGGACATAAGGCGGAGTAGATGCGCAATTCTATTCACGCACGTGTGCGTGGATGAGCAGGTAACGCAGGTAAACCGCACCAAAACGTAAAGGTCGTCCATACGTCCATTCATCGATATAATACCCGATGTGGAAAGTGCGGGCGATCGCGCGCGCGCGGCGTTGTCGCACCGCGCTTTGCTGCTGGACGCGGGAGAGCGCACGGCAGCCGCGCTGAGTCGCTCCGTCCGTCACGCGCATGACGCACATTACTCTTTCCTGCTGATTGACGGCAATCAAGCACTACCGACCGCGACCAGTACTGTTATTGTTGTTGTGCATAGTCCCCAGAGCGGTCGAAGCGCTCGCACGCTACATTCGGTTCAACCAAAGGCTTTTGTACACCTCGCATTGCATAAGATCAGCGGAGATATCACAGGTATGCTCGAATTTCGCTAGCGTATAGCACCGGTCCGACCCGGTTTGGTCAATTCCTCCGCGTTCAATCGCGACGCGTCAGAGGTTGCGAGCGCGCAAACACTACAGTGAATTAAGTTCAATCATCGGCATAATAAACACTGGCTGGCACTTGTAAGTTGTTTATTTGATCGCGATAATATGTGCATGCAGTTCAAACCCACCGGCTAACGATTCAAATTTCACTATGGAGGAAATAAAGTAAATATTATATAAACACCAGTTTACGAACGAACACGATTCGCAGCTTTTTAATGCATGCTCTGTTTGTATTCACATCAAATTTTGCCAAGCAAACATCATGCAAGTATAATATTTGTGTAAATAACACGTTTACATGTTTGAAATTGAAACGCAAACTTTGCGAATTTCAACTAAAGCACAAATAATCATTACAGATTGCGAGCTGTGAGTGAAACCTTGAAATTCCTTCTAAAACAGATCTTTGTAGCAAACCGCGTGGCATAGCATGATGTCGAAGCAATAACGATTGTGTGAATGTAAATAGAATAACATAAATGTGCGACGTTCCATCGAAGTCACCAGTCTCAATATCATTGATATAAAGACGCAATACACAATGCTTTGTCGCTTGGCCGCAGATCGTGGAAGCAATCGGTTATGTAGAAATAGCTCCGCATGTGTTGCGTGAACATTTGTAAACAATAATTATTATTTTATCATTCGGCTTCCTCTATTTCTGATTGTCGGTTTTGTGTGGAACTAGTCTTGCACGCCGTGTCAAATATCATATCGTGCACGAATATCCGTCACTGCGTACAGTTCATAAAAGTGTGTTAGGGAGGTGCGTCCGGCGTATGTAAAATTTCGCAAACGCGCAATATTTCTAACACGGAAGGTACGCGTGAGCAATTCGCGTGTCTCGACAAAAAAAATATAATCGATCGATAATCTATTTGCACATAAATACAAATATGGTTAGCTCGTTGAAAGTACGAACGAAATGAATCAACGCTTACAGGCAATAGAAAAAAACAAACAAACAAGCAGGGTTCGAAGCCAGCCGGTCAGCGGCGCGTCGTGACTCATGAAACAGTTATTACTCGCGAGTCGTGCGCGGCGGGTGGATGAGTTCGTTCTTCGCGCTTGCCAACAAAACAAGTCGTCAAAACTTAAAACCGACAACAACGCGCGCGCGCGCGGCCTTAATTGTAATCGCATTAAGTTCAGTTGGTCATTTTAGCACCCCGAATTTGGTTCACCGTAGCATGTCACTGTGACACGCAGACGAGATGCAAATACAATACATCTTTGTGCTCTCGGTGACGGCGGCGGTGATGGGTGTCGAAGCCCGTGCGCCTCGTGAACGTCCGCTGCTACCTGTCGATAATATGCGCAAGGCGTTCCTGCGCTTAGAGGACGAACTTTCGACGACGGTCGCGAATAGTGCGATGGCAAGTAACGAGATTGCCAAAAATAGCATCCCGCTCGACTTGGTGCTCATTCGCAAGATGCAAGGTTTCGACGTGAAGCTCCAGCAGGTTGGTAGAATGCGTGTGCTAATGCGAGCTGGTGTGACTAAATGTGGTATGCTTTGAAGGAGTTCCCGCACGATATAAATTATGGTCTGGACGCGCTGCAAAACTCGTGGGTTTGGGCTCGCGCCAGTGCCGAGATGCGCACGATCTTCGTCACATACGAAGCGTTCCGCCGCTTTCAGGACCAGCAGACAGCGGTGGGGCGTATTCCGTCGCCGCGTCAGGCGTGGGTCGATCTCGCCGAAACGGTATTGAACGACTCGAAGGCCTCAATGCCGGGCACCATGCAGAAATTACACGAGCTCAAGATCAAAGAAAACCTCTTCCTCAATGCACTTAGGGTATTGTGCTTTATCTTAATCTCCATCTTCTCCAGAGCGCAAAACTTTTTAATATCCACTAATCTCATCATTTCAATAGGAAGTTGATGGTGGTACTCTATGCAGTATTCATGAATCGCCACAGCAAATGTTGCTAAACCTCTACAATACCGCCGTGATCACCGAGCTCAAGGCCTACGCGATGGTTCAATTTTCGTACATGTTGCTACGTCTCTATGACAAGGGCAACTTCACGAACGAGGCTGAAGTTATGAGAGAAAAGTTCCTGCAACGCACCAGAGAGACTACTGAGTCGATGCGCGACGCTCTCAGCCGCGCGTCCAGAAAGTTATGGATCTGTGATCCCAAAAGTTCGTTAAAGGCAAAAACTACCTCGAGATAACTGAGCTGCTACAGGGTTACATTCAAAACGAGGTGGACCTAAACGACCAAGGCACATGTCGTGAAAACTGTGCGGAGTATAAATATACTAAGAGCCACTCATGCTATATGAACCTCTACTGCAAACAGCAGCGGCGGTGTAACGGCAAAGTGATAAACTGTAGATTCGTGGACTCCGACTCGCAGGTGTGTCCGGCGGGACCTGGTACCAACCGGCGGTACGATTACGTCGAGTACGAAGACGGGCGTGTTTACGGCCACAAAAGGGTGGCTGTGCGAGGTCCACTGCTAAGGTGGATAGTTGGTGGCGGTGGCTGTTCTGGCATTGCTCTTACTGTATGTGTCTCTGCGACGAGCAGGGTACAAACTCAGATCGGTACATTAACCTACGGCCAGCATTAACCAATATAGAACAAAACAAGTGAGTTGAATTATAGTTCTAATTATGACAATGCTAACACTAACTAACATTACAGAGTGGCGGTTGGATTACGCTTCGCTAAAGTTGGGCGGATAATATACTTGCAGATCCAAGAAGGTGAGCTTGGAAAATCTGGTTCTATCACCTCAAAGAACTGGGTACCGCTAGAGAGTTACAATATCACTGATAGGAACGTGCATAATGGGGTGGACTATCACACATTAACATTCGAAAGCAGGGCGCTAGATTTAGACGACTTGGAAACTGAAGAGCAAGATCAAGTACTCACAGGTAAATAAAAACAACAACAAAATCTGATCTCTGCTATAAAAAGATAAATTCTATTGAAGGAGTGCGATTCCAAATGCTCGGATCTCATCTAAACTTCCAAATCCGACTGACCTCTTTCGACTTCCTTACTGGGCAGTTACAACCTGAGAAGAGCTATTGGAAGAGTAACCACAACACGGATGCCGCGCGCATTAATCCCAGGTAAATGAAAACACCAGCAGAAAATCAATAAGCATGCATGACTTCTATTGACAATATTATTGAAGAAGTGACTGACTGACTTTCATCTATTTTCTTGATCTCTTTGCTCTATTTAAGCCACTCATTGGGACTCTATCGACCTTATCGATTGTAAGCCCAAATGAAGCAGGTGCTTTGACTTCAAGTTCTAATGATTTGCTTTCTTTCTTTCAATACAGGAAAAACTCGACCTGGAGCGGCGTGATATCCCCACGCGTGCACAGTCTACCTCGCAACCGGACAGCCAAAGCGACATGTATCTTGAATTCACGCATACGGATTATGAGCGCGACGTGGCACAGACGACTATTCCGTTCTTCGATAGCCAAGACGTCGTCTCGGAGATTCCGGTGCCCTTGTCGGGTGCCGGCATTTACCACAAAGGCCTGCCAAGCTTCGGCGGCTTTGTCGCGCCAAAGATTATTACGTACAATTACAACGCGTTGCTTGAGAACGCCATCGACGATTTGGACCCCGACAAGTTGGTCAACTAAACTTTATACTTATTGTTAACGCATTCTTTCAAAGAAATAAACTATGATACGATTGTAAGCTTTTTAAACGAATATTGTAAACAGACGAATAATGTGATTTGATTATTGTATATCAATGTAAAGCCCTAGACGTAGCAGTAATAAATAAATAGTTTCGAAGACACACGAGATATACTTCTTTGCGTATCTAGCCACTTTTCAATGTTTGTTAGCTAATAAACTTCTTAATAATGACTCACCTGAACACGTAGCGGATGCATCATCAGTAAATTCAGCACCTCCGATGACGGAAGCACGTCGTTTAAATCAATTCCCTGCTTGGCCACTGCCTGGCAGAGAAACACGGCCAAATACCGATGCAGAGGAAGATGAAATGACACCTGCAGCGAATATTCCTACAAAATAAAACAAAAGAACTATTGTGTTGTGACTAACATAGTTTAGATGGGTACTTACCATGTTAGTATTTGTATAGTTGATGGCGTCCAGCCACTCTTGCAACGCCGCCAAGCAGGCGGTGAGGACACGTCTGGTGAGGTTCGCGGTATTGTGGTCAACAAGATGAGATACGAGTGCCCACATGGGGTACGCGCTAGCCTCCAGTTCGGCACTGAACGCCGCGTAGTAGGTGTTCGGTTCAAACTCCACGTGCTGCGTCATCTCCTCTGGTTAACGTTCATGCCTTGGAACATGGCGAGAAACGTGAACCACATGTCCAGCAGGGAGTCGTCGAACATGAAGCGCCACGCGACCGGTCTATGCGAGAGCACGTTGTTCAGGTCGCTTACCAGCGGCCAGTAGCAGTGGTCCTTCATCACCGACTGGCCGCAGTCGACGACGAAGTGGAAGTTGTGGCAGGAATCTAAGCGTTGAAGCAAAATGCCACATGTTATTACGGATAATTTCGCATAGTAACGCGGCACTTACCGTGTAAACTGTTCTGTATCAAAATTTTGCTCATCATGTACTTCAAACTGACGACCATGACGTGCAGCAGGTTGAGCTGCTCGGTCATGCGCAGCGCGAGCCCCTCGTTCGAGAAGAGCTGCACACTAACGTGAACAACACGATTGCTGAGCATGTCCGGATCGCGGCTCTTCTCCAGCATTTTAGAGATGCGGCTGTAGTGTAGAACGAAAGCGCGTGTGAGCGCTTCCTTGTAATCGGGGTCGGGCAACATATTCAAGAGTAAACACACTATTTTCTGTGGAAATTCAAACTTGACTGTCCAGAAGACGAGCTCCTCAAGAAAAGTCTTGTGCAAGAGCTGCTCTTGCAACGAAGGGCAGTCCTTGTGCTCATCCATCGGCACCGGATTCGGCAACGAGCGCAGCGCCTCCTCGTAGATACGTCGCGATTCGACCAGATATTGGTCGTGATCGCTGTCAGGCGGATTGGGCACCTCGTTAAGCAGTCGATACTGCTGTGGGTTAGTGAGCGCCGTGGTCATCACGCGCCGCATTAACCCGCCCATGTTGTTGAAGTCCAGTAGCATGGTGATGTAGGCATCGGCATCGTGAATGGGATTACGGCCAGTTTCCGTACCGCCAGCGTAGTGCTCGCGCAGATGCTGTACTAAACGCAGAATGATGCGCGGCATCATAGCCTGCGCCACACACATGAGGTCAGTGGGTGCCTGGTCTTTGTTCACCGACTTGTTCGGTCCGTGGCGGTCACAGAACCTGCAAAAGCATTTGAAATGTGTGAGTGATATGTTCACACACTGACGGTGTTGGTCCACTTACCCCGTTTCCTTCATCACGGATGTATCACCGCAATCACATGCACCACCCGCCTGACTGAGGAACATATTAAAGTCGTGCCGCTGGTGATTGCCCTTCTTGAAACACTCGGTGCACAGTGACATGCAGGGGCTGATACCACAGGTGCGGCAACGGTAGGCGACGAAGTTGGGTGTCCACACCAGGCCGCAGGTGGTAGCATTGTCAAAGGTGCGCACAGTGCTCGCGAATTCGTCGGGAGTGCGCCCGCCGGCGATGAGCCATTTCACCCATTCGATCGTCTCCCACTCGCTGATGACGTTGGCCGGGTTGAGCAAGTTGTCGAGCACCTGGTTGAGGTGCTGTGAGGCTGTGTCGTTCCACATCCACGCGGACTGCACGGCTCGGATGTATGCGGCGGCGGCGCGCTTCCCTTCGCCATCAGCACCCGCGCCTCGAAGTTGGAATTCGATGAAGCCATCTGCAAGTAGGCGCCGGCGAATTAGTCGCGTACAGGCATTGCCACTTTGCCTAGACAATGCGACTATTGCACAACGCGTTGTTCTGATTGCACACCCCGAAGTGCACACGCGTCGCAGCTGATCGGCGGAGCAACAAATTGTCACTGTTGCGTATCGTCGCCGACGAACCGCTCACGTTTGACGTGTGCACGTCTTTTTGGCGGTGCGATGATGGACCGGCGAAGTCAGCGACGTCTTCCGCGCCGATGACGACGTCGCGACAACCTCGGATCACCTCAGCGCAAGGACAAGGATGTGCGACGCCCGCTCGCTGGCGAGGTTATTGCTGCCCGCAGCACGTTCAACTCGCCAACTCGAGAGGCGACCGACTGCGTGCGAGCGGGCAGGCAGGCAGACAAGCGTTTCGTAAGCGGCGAGCGGTCGACCGCCAGCCGACCGCACGCTCCCGTACACACGCACGCACGCACGCACACAGCCGCGGCCGACCAGGCCCGAGCAGACGAAAATCCACTTACGCTTCGTCGTCAAAGATTTCCCGAGCTATGCGGATGGTGTCACTACGGCGGCAACGGCATGCCCGCGCACTGCGTTCGTTCACGCGACGGCACGACCCCTGCTGAAGGCGTCGCAATGCGGATGAACGCGGACGAGCACCGTCGAAATCAATCTCGAAACTGTTCTCCGCGCTCGCGATTCGTCTTCGAGTAGAGTGCTAGATCTCACTAGAAATAAATGGTTAGAAACGCGTTTGACAATTGACAATCTGCCGGGGACTACGCATGCGCGCGGCGCGCACAAGCTTTAGCAGGCAACACAAATATGAATACGCACAATAGTATTGAACAATATAATGATACACGTGCTATATTGCACAACACTGTGTAAATACAGAACCCGTGTACAGAAAACATGAAAACAATAAGTATTACAGAACATGATTGCTTTTTAATTCCCCAGAACGAAAAGTTTGAAAACAATTACATCGTGTCAGTCCGAATTCGAAAAATAGTTTATCCAACGCACGCTGTTTTGCCTCCTCCATGGTTGTTGCAGATGCCATAGTGCACAGTGGTATCACGCTATTTATACTATATGATACAATGCATGGTGTTTGGCCTTCTTCCGACATTTCCAGAAACTGTAGCTCCAGCTCAAGTTTTCGAGGAGTCGTCTCATTTTATCTTCGGTGTGTGGCTCTTCAAAAACTGTCAAACATAAAAATATTTTTAAAAGTGTACCAATACTAAGTACATCGTTGCAATAATTGATGTTATGTGTTAGTAATAAACTCAACAGTAGCATTTAAATTCATGGGTTATTCTAGTTCTCTTATCTGTACTCACTTCCTCAATATCTTTAAATGTCAATTTCAGCTGCGCAAGATGATACGTCAAATGCGTGGTCATGTCCCATACACTCATACCAAAATATGGACTGATTTCAATACCTTCCAAGCGCTCTAATATCATCTTGGCGACATTTTGCCTCGCCTGTTTCTTCGTGTTAGCCGTGTTCCTCACCTAATAGATTGTCCAAGTCTACCTTCATAGGTAAAAATCTTTTGGTGTGGTGGGCCACAATCATCAATGAGATCATACTCTAGTCCTGTGATATTATTCCTCAAGCAAAGATCGTCTAATTCTCCAATATAGTTGACGACTTTTGGTAATTCACTTTCATCATCAGGTGATAACTGTTGTGATGTTTGGGCAAGGAATGGTTCACAATCACTTTTAAGTAATCTTGGAGAAGGAGTAATGCATTCTTTGCAGTTTCTTGCTTTGCTTCTTTTTGATCGTCCTCGTCCTGAGATTTAATATTATTAAATTAAACAATTACTATAAATTTATATTTTGCGTACCTGTTGCAGAGATATCCAGAACGTGAACAACGTATTCAAAAGATTTTCATGTGTACCTTGTTGCAGAGTTATTAAATCATAAGTGGGACCATGTCCGCATCTCTGCGTGGATAACTCTTGCAATAACATCGCTGGTGTTTTGTTCGTCATTATTTGTTTTGACTGTAACCATGGAGGTGCTCAGAAAGTGAATACGACAACAGTTTAATAAAATTCTTACAATATAACGCAAACGCTTCTTTTTAAGTTTCGATGTGCTCACCACCTGGTATTTATATTTACAAGAAAAAATATTTTCTTTTGGGGTTTATTCGTTCATTTGAATTAAAATAAGTGTTGGTTATCAAATAGCACTGCTTTTACGCAATCTATGATCAACTCTAACCGAGTGTAATTTTTAAGGTTAACTTTACAGCTTATAAACGGAAAAATTGCGACAACGCATGTTCGACATGCAACTGGGCAAACAATTTAACCAAATGACAAAATGTAGAATTTGTAACTGACTTTGAATTTTGCTATTGATGACTGACTTTTATTTATTTTTTGTGAAGTCTAAAGTTTTTGCTAGTTGCTAGGAAGTTCAAATTCATCTTTCTATGCTTCGATATTTTGAGCGCCGTTTGCAGAAAATGGTCTTACCTTAGCTTCCACCTTCACGGACGATGGAGAAGATTTTGAGTCTGATGCTGAAGCACTAGATACAAAACTGACATCACATCTATTACTCTTCCTCTTTTTCGGTGGGTTCCTTACTCGATTTTCGTCTTCTTCGACGAGTGTACAGTTTCTCTTCTTTCGTGTTTTATTTGATGATAAATTATCATTGTTTTCCTGCATAATACGTCTTCCTACTGTGGGAATATAATCACAAAAACAAGTCGATGTGTTAAATTACTTCATGGATCTCGCCATCGTCCTTGGAGCAATCTTAGACCAATAATTAATAATTATTCAGGGAAAATAATCGCCTGAATTTGCGGTTAATCGCGGCATATGTGCAACCGCTCACCACGAACGACTTTTTGCGACTGACAGGGTTGGGGATATGTATACACTTGTGAAAAACCGCACAATCGCGCTTGTTCAGGCAAAAACCGACAAGTCAAACGTATCGATAACACGTCGAAACTACTACTACACACGCTAAATTCTCACTCCCTAAATTTACTTCAGCCTGCATCATTCTTGCAACGTTAGCAGGAATATTCCCAAGACCTTCATTCGCTTCAATTCGCTCTAGAGCTCTTGAGCTCTTGTGAAAGTTACACGTAAATAAATCGTAAAATCAGCAAGAGTTTCGGTCATTGCATACCTCATCCGCCACTGTTTAACTATTTTACTTTGGAGCGCGATGTTAGACCGGCTAAACTCGTTCAGAATCGTTTGAGCATCGCAAATAAAAATTGGGCAACTGTCTTCAGAACCAGGAGGACAAGCTACGCAGGTTTCGCCCCAACAGCGCTACATCTCCAATTACATTCAAAATAATAACATTGAACAATAATAGTTTGAAGATTGTGTAAAGATTTGGTAAGAGCTGAGACAAACAGAAAACAAACAGTATATTCATTCGATAAATATTAAACAATACTTCTTTTATAATACTAACTTTGAATCAGCTGAAGAAATTGCAAAATATGTGACGTTTTACATGTTTGAAGAATTCGTTGTAATTGAGCAAAACATGTTATTGTTTTAGGGCATCTAAAGCCCGCCGACAAAATCTCTCAAATGATACTACAAATTCTATTAAAAATAAATAAAACGTTGTCGATGCGGAGTTGGAATAAATTCCTATTATATTAATAGATAATAAGGTTCCGAATACAAACACTTTATCTCTGCGAGAATGGCAAGATTTATAAGCAAAAGTAGTTGCATTGTGTGTATGTTGGAAACTAAAAAAGTATTTGATACCACAGTTCAGAGTTCTCCGCGTGTTGATAAATCAGCCTTTGATAATTCGCCGCTCAATCATATAGTCACAAAGCGCGGCCTGATCAGGGCGTTGTTTCAGTCTCTTAGATTTCCTAAAGCGCCAAGCATGCGACTCGGGCTCCTGCTTCTTTTGCGGCTTGCATAGGCCATGCAATCGCCATCCAAATTTCGCTCATGATGGGCATCCTTCTGCCCAAAACTTTAGACGTGTTATTGAAGTTGCGCGAAGGCAAAAACTTGTTAGATATAGATAGCCAGGAGCATGCTCTGAAAAATCAAATCAACAAAGTGGCGCACCAGATAGACGATTTGCATCGATTGGAGGTGAGTTCGACATCGCGCACCCTCTCCTTGCTGCAGAGCTCCCTGCCTGATCGAGTCGCCTTGGACCTGAAGCTGACCAATCTCAAGGAGTACATGCGCAAAATCGATGTGTACTATAAGCGAATGAAGCAGTATGCTGGCTACCACACTGGATATAAAGTCAATCGGAGAAGTATTCGTGTCCGCCGATTCGAACGATTCACGTTGGAGAACTTTGCCACAGAGGTTGTGGCACATCATCCCAATTCGGTGCAGAGCCTCAACGCACATGTACATGAGTACTTCATGCCAGGCCAGCTAGGCATCATGAACAGCAACATCGTAAAGTCCTTTCTAAAACTAGGATCAGTGAGTATTTAGTGAAGGCCAGGCACATTTGATAAAAAAATAATATTTCTAGGACATTGAGAAAGGGACGCAATGTAGCATGCATGAATCTCCACAGCAGATGCTCATTCATCTGTATAATGCAGCTGTCGCCACCGATGTAAAGGCTTACACGATGATGCAGTTTTCGTACACGCTGCTTCGGCTCTACGGAAAAGGCAATTTCACCCACGAGGGCAATGTCGTGAAAGACGATTACCTCCAACGTATGCAAGAAAAGGCAGAGTCAATGCGTGCGTCGATAGGTGACGTAACCAGGAAGTTGTGGAATTGTGATCCGGAGAAATTCATCCATGGCCAGAACTACGTTCAGTTTACCGAGCTGGTTCAAGGCTACATCCAGAACGAGGTGGACCTCAACAAAGATGGCACCTGTTGGGATAACTGCGCAGGGTATCAGTACACCGAGAGTTACTCTTGTTATAAGAATCTGTACTGCAAGCACCAGCGACGATGTAACGGCAAAGTGATTAACTGTAAGTTCGTGGACTCCTATTCTGAGGTGTGCCCGGCTGCACCCGGCACGAATCGGCGATACGAGTACGTCGAGTACGGTGACGGGCTTATTTACGGGAAGAAGAATGGCGCGTGTCCCAGGAGTACCAAGAGGGCAGACAGTTGGTGGCGCTGGGTGTTCTGGCACTGCTCGTATTGTCTGTGTCTCTGCGATGAGCAGGGTAAAATTCCGATCGGTACATTGACTTGCGACCTGTGTTATCGCACATTGCAGAAAATAAGTGAGCGTTCATTCATATTCAACTACTAAGTATCTGTACGCACTTGATATATATTACAGAGTGGTTACCGGAATGAGATTCACAAAAGAAGGACGCGTTATCCACATGCAAATACAAGAAGGTGTACTTGGGAAAGGTGGAGTCATCTCATCAGCCAGCTGGGTACCAGTTGTAAGTTACCAGATTACGGATAGGAACGTACGCGAAGACGTTGATTACCATACCTTAACATGGCTAGACAGGGCAATAGATCTGGATGACTTAGAAACTGATAAAATGCATGAAGTACTTACAGGTAAACATACAAAAACATCAATCATAAACTAAACTATATGTTAAAGGAATACGGTTTGGAATGCTAGGAACGCATTTGAACTTCCAAATACGATTGACTGCTTTCGATTTTGACTCCGGCGAACTGCAACCTGAGAAGAGCTATTGGAAGAGTAATCACAACACAGACGGCGCAAACGTTAATCCTCGGTAGGTTCATAGAGCAACACAATGATGGCAACGTGTTAGGAGCATAAATCCAACTTTTTAGGCGAAAGATCGACATGCAAGGTTTAGACATCCCCACGAGGTCGCCTCCCTCTTCGAAACCAAACCACGAAAGCAATATGTATCTAGAATTTACAAACACTGATTTTGCAGCAGACGTAGCACAAACGACCATTCCGTTCTTTGACAGTCAGGAGGTGTATTCTGATATTCCTGTGCCTTTAGCAGGCGCTGGCATCTACTACAAACGCATAGCAAATTACGGTGGGTTTGTAGCGCCAAAGATAATTACGTTCAATTATCACGGAATACTAGAAGAGGCGATTTACGATTTGAACCCGGATGAAATCCAAGTTGTGTAAAGTCGACATATTTATATGCATAGAGAGATTAGGTGTTTTATATCCACGAGTATATTATATTATTCTCGAAGAAGAGTTCACCTTTATAAATATATACATACTTTCAGAATAAAAGTTTACTTTCATAACACAGTTTGGGCGATGGTTTGTAGTGAGCTGCGTATGAAACAAATATTTGTTGTCATGTAAATCATGTGTCATTTAAGAAAATACACTCCTATCATCCTCGACTCACAAACCATTTCATCGCGTCCCGATTTCAGGACCGAAAATGCCGAGTGCTACTCCGTAAGTTTTGTTCTAAAACAAATTCAATAGATGGGCAATGTTCTAGTAAAAAAGCTCGAATTATTTTGAAGATTGATATTCATATATACGTAGGCCGCCATTGATTTGCTCGATCTGCAACGGAGAGACATTCACGAGTCAAGCTCAGCTTCGCATTCACCTGTACCAAGCTCACGGAAAATTGAATTGCCCGAAATGCTTGAACTACTGCGATACAATCGCTGCGCTCGCGAGCCACTTGGCCGTAGAACATTTGGCGGTTGATAGCGACTCTTACGACTCACAAAGCGACTCTAGTGATGTCCTCAGTACCACTACGGAGGAGGTCTCCGGAGAAGACTCTGGAGTGGATGACACCTCTCTAGATTCCTCTCTTGAGTCCAACCAATAAATTTGCGAGTTGCTTTAAGTCTGTTACCAGGTATCATGTCGTTTAATAAACGGATTTAATTTCAATGCTTTTATTTGGTTAATTATTCTTAAATGACGGATGAGTATGTATGATGAATATCGATGAAGGATTTACATACCCGATGAGAAAGACGGTTTCGGCCTTTTAATATTGAATCGGTCCAGTCGTACAATACACCACTTAACTATTTTGCAACTACATAATCGTCAGGTTATGCATATTTTATTATAAAATTGCCATACTTTATATATAAAATCGTTAATCAATATCGTAAGTCTAAATAAACAGGAGTCGCAATTTTAATCTGAGCTCACATAACACATATTTTCATAAATGTTAAATAAAATCGAACGAAACCGAGCTACACAAGCTCACTTAAACAAATAAAATTAAAACGGCAACGTCATTTCACATAATTCTATGGGTAATTTCTGTTACTTCTCAGGGTGCGAATCCTAATGCACCACGATAATGAACAGTTTCGCATCGTTGCCATGATTTAAATTTGCTGTGCGTCATTCACAATCATCACGAAATACTGGAGAATTAAAAGCCTTCCTATGGGCGTAGATCAAACTTATACGCTCGAAATTGAAGTGTGTTGCCAAGTACTAAATGATAAACTTATCCTACGGAGAAAAATATAGAGGATTCAAGACGACATGAAGAATGGCGTATTAGCTACGTTGTCGAATGTCGGCTCCTCACTAGTATGGCGCGTACCGCCTGGATGGCGATGGTCCTCGCATGCCCGGTCTGTGTGATAAAATACAAGAGTGGTTAAAATTTTACAGGGTGATTGAGTGCGTGAGGCAAACGTACCTCCTATCGTCGAAAGAATCTCGACTGAAATCTTCGTACATGCGGCTCATTCGCGAGCCCTGCATGCCGCTGGGTGGCGGTGATCGCCTGCTGAACATGCCGTAATCACCACCGCGAGCAAATCCTGTGTCACGCATGCCCCGCTCATACCTGAGGGCGGGCCACGCAGTCCTATGGAGGGCATCGGCGGCAAGGGTTCACGACGTGGCGGCAGCGGCGGTGGGAGAAAGTCCCCTCGCCCGCCGCGCAACGCCATATCGCCCCGCGGTGGCATGCCGGAGTAGCGGCGCTCGTACAGATCACGGGAGTCATCGAAACGGCGATCATAGTAGCTGTCGTATCCATCCTAGACATGACACACACACATGTTAGCATATTGGAGGCTGGAAAGTGAGCGGGGCAGGAGTGGTGGTGTAGGTGGTTGTTGTTGTTAAACTAGCGGCACGTCGGATTCGGCGATATGCGGCGCGACTCGTCGAGATTCACCGCGCCCGGCGGATGGAGACGCTCGACCTAAGCGCGCTCGCTGTGTGCTATCGTCACGACCGGATCACGACCGGAACGCCGTGTACAGGACGGGACGGGAAACGGCATTGGAGGCTCAGTAAATATAATAAGTGAGTGATCGCGTACCCCAAAGCGGCCCATCATCCGGTCGCGCAGGAAGGGCGGGGCGGCGGCGGCGGGTAGGGTCGCGCCCGAACATGCGGTCGCGGAAGCGGTCGGGGCCCATGCCTTTCGGGCACTCCTTCGACCAGTGGCCCCACGGCCGCACCGATAGCATTGCTCCGGGTCGCCCATGCCGGGCCGCTGACGCACGCGGCTCGTCGAGACCTGCACCTTCATTGGCTGGCCGTCGACCAGTGTGCCGTTGAGATCTTTTATCGCATCGTTCACGTCACCCGTCGACTCGAGATGCACGAACCCGTAGTTGCGTACTATGTCGCACTCCACCACGTTGCCGAACTTTTGAATAGCTCGCGAATTTGTGGCGCTTTGGTGTTGTCCGTCAAGTTGCCGACGAAAATCTTTGTCGTTGGTGTCAACGGCTGCTTGCGGCTTTTGGCGGCCTCGCATTTCATCGGCTGCCCGTTGAGCATGTAGCCGTTCAAATTTTGAATTGCCTCGCGACCCTCCGTCTCGTTCTCCATGTGGACGAAACCGTAATTCTTGACGACATCGCATTCCACCACCTTACCGTATTTCTCGAACAGTGGCTTGATATCCGTGATCGCTGTTTTCTCCGTCAGGTTCCCGACAAAGATTTTGAACGTGCCCGGCGTACTAAAACCCGGCATGGCGTCGCCTGAAACTCGCATTTATCACACAATTGCTTTCGCTGCAAACAAAACCACGACACAGTCGACAACATTTCGCCTGTTTGCATTCGGGCCCACCAGACTCATGGCAGTGCATACAACCTTGCAAGCGAGGTTAGGACGGATAGCGAGGGAAGCTACTATCGGATGCCCCAACATGCATGGGCGCCGGCGTCTATCGATTTTGGTTAGAGAACGTGCGGGCGATTAGTGGCGAAAGTACGAGCACAATGTCAAAGATGGCGAACCACAACCGGAATGGATGCATCCACTCATTCATTCATTCATTCATTCGTGCGAATGCAGACAGTCGACTTTTCGTTATCAATAACGAAGTCACACGAAACGAAACATTGTAATATACGACGTTTCCCGTGAAAACAGCACGCCATTTTTGTTTGCATTGCCGCCGAAATGCCAGTTGACCGGTCCGTTTTTAGCTGCATATACAATCAAAATAGCGAACGTCGCGTCGCGATTGTGATATTTTTATTCTTACAGAAAACATATAAATCGATTATGGCTACGTATTGGAAAGTGTTGCGCTCAGTACACGAGCACTTACCGTTTTATCGTTTTCGCTAATGGTGACTGCGTTGGGGGTACTGGCGTCTCAAAACACGAGCTGCGGTGAGCTCGAAGTCGGATTGTTTGCTGGTGACTTGCGTCTAGGATGAAACAGCAAGACAATGCGTCGCTGTTCGCTGGTCGAAGGTGTCGGTGTAGCTGGCGATGCTTGTAGATGGACACGGAGTTCAGGGCACGCAGACCTCTTGAAAAGACCAAACGCTCTAGACCGATGCGCATGTAACAATGGCGGCAAACCACTCTATAGCTATTGCGCCTTGGCGTCCGGTTACGCTGTAGGTACTACGCATGCGTCATTACGCCACGTTGCCGCACAAACAACGCCAATCTTGAAAAGTCCCTAGCCAGTAAAAGTCCCCAACATTTAAATCACAATCTTGTGCAACGTGATACTAAAAGTCAAATTACTTCTTACCTGGTCTACGCCTACGACTTTTTATAAATTTATTAAACAAGGCTGACCGTTTAATTAGCAGGGAGAAGCATAAACAAAATCATATAGACTTATTTTAGCATCGTATACATGGAGACGATTAGTCATAACCTATCACAAAGAGAAAAAATGAACGCAAATCAAGACTATCCAAAGGACTTGATAACACAAAACAAATATTTTTATATAATATATAATTCAGTCTTTGCACACATTAGTACTAAAACATTCTAGTTACACATTACATCCGTTTTCGTTTATTTATTTCCTTGTTTATAATGTTGGTCCTACTTAGTTTTGAATATTATACATTTTAGACGTATGCATTGTTTATGTGTTGCAGATTTTGTCATTTATGTAAACTTAGTCTATATACATAGTTATTAAAATTAGCGAAATTGTATATCGAATTTAAATGCACGACTCTTGTCACACGGCCTACGACGTTGAGCTTATAATACAGAGGTATAAACTTGTCGAACGAAATAACGGTGCTCGATTATAACCAGTGAAAAGTCTACAGAGATTCGCGACGGCGTAGGCGATACCGTCCCCGGGCTCGAGTTTGTACAAGGGTGAGTATTCTGCAAATCAATAAGCCGCCCGCCACGACGCTCCGCATAGCAAACATAAATACTGACGATTAGTCGCGCATGGCACATAAAATGAATGAAAGTATATACAAAATATTTAAGAATTAAAAATAATTACTTGACATTACTATGTACAGATTACGTTAAGCCTAATTAAACTTTTGTGTTAGAGTAAGAGTTACTGCGCTAAAATATTAAAGCTAGCAACTAGACGATCTTGATCGTCGTGTCGACGTCGAGCTTGCCGAGCGTCTTCTTCACGCGCAGAGCCGTCAGCCGCACCGCCGGATTGCTGTGCCAGCACTCCTGCATGATTTTGCTCATGGTGACGAGCACGTCTTCGCCCTCATAGCGCTTGGGTATCCGCGGCCGGTACCGGCGCTCGCACACACATTCCTGCATCTCATCGAAACTGGGATCATTTGGGACGACATCGTAGTACGGCAGCTGATATGGGTCAACCTCGGCGATCTTGTCACCGGTGATGCAGCGCCGTGACATCTCCCACAACACCAGCCCAAACGAGTACATATCGGCAATCTTATGCGCATCGAAGTTGTTTATGTTAATCGAGCGGTCTAGAATCTCCGGCGCCATGTAACGTTTTGTACCGGAGCGCTCATTCGGTGGTACGTCAATTTCATTCGTATCGCTCAGATACTTGACGGCCAGTCCGAAATCAGCGATACAACATTCGAGGTTGCGTTTGACGAGGATATTCTTGCTTTTAATGTCGCGGTGCGCAATTGCTGGCTTTCCGCGCGTACCGTAGATCTCGGTGTGCAGGTGGGAAAGACCGGAAGCAATACTCGCCGCCATACAGAGCAGGCTGTGCGGGGTGAGAACGTTGTTCTGCAGATAGTCGTGCAATGAGCCGTGCTCATGGTAGTCGGTGATGAGCAGCATCTGCGTCCATGAACCAGTACCCTTGATGTCGGCGGCAATAAAACCAAGGATATTCTCGTGGCGCATCAATACGGTCTGATAAATCTCGGTCTCACGGAACCACGACTGCTCCTCGGTGGTGAAGAAGACTTTGACAGCAACGCGTTCACCGCGCCATTTCGCCAGCCATACTTCGCCGTAGCGACCCTTGCCAACGCTCTGCACCATCTGAATCTGTTTGCTGATCGTACGCTGAACAAGGATGGGTAAACCACTGCCGGAACCAGAACTCTGGTCGCGGTTTGTGAGTGCGCCGGTCACGTCAAGGGGCATCTTGTCTGGACACTTCTTCTCGTAGTACGACTGCTTGGAACGGTTATCCTGCTTGCGTATCCGCAAATAATAGACCGCAAAGATGATGAGGAAGACCGTGAGACACACGGTGATCGATGTGAGGAGAACAATTAACGGCACAACATCGCCACTCGCCAACATCGAAGGTGCTGGAGTTGTGGTGCGTGGCTCGTAATGTGGCCGCAGTTCCTGATTACAGAGGTCCATATGCTCGCAGCATTCGATTGACTTGCCACGTAGATGGGGACCAAATTGCCTTTGCACTATAAGAGAGAATTAATTAACATCTGCACACAATCAATGTTTGCATTGTGTAGGTATATTTACCTGCATGAGTCCACCCTCATCTGGAGGCAGGCAGCCATATGTGACCTCCTCATCGTAGGTTCGAGTCTCTGGGTCGTACACTTCCTCGATGGCGGCAAAACAGCTACCGCCCTGTCGCACCTCACAGGTACCATTACTGGGCATTCCATGTGGACAGTGTCCTTCGCAATAACATCTTCTCACTGCAATAAAAATAATAATATATCATTACAATAAATCCAACATTAAGCTCGTGTGATAGTGGTGGCAAACAAAGAGAAACTAGCCGGGCGTCAGTGTGCCAATCGCGGAGACAAAAGCTGCATGCCTACAAAACGTCGCTTGTCAATTCATTCGATTAATACCGAGCGCGCTGTTTCATTTCGGTGCGCGCCCATGACGAATGTCCCGTTAGCATCGATCACCAACCATGCTGGCGTATTAGTTAATTAATTACAACATTCGAATGCTCGCCAGGAGGCACGACCAGCCGCGATTGATCGACAGCCGCACGAAGAACGTTACGACTCTTCAAGGACCCGAGTGGGTGAAGGATTGGCGACAATGGTACGAAGAATGCTCGCATAGAAAACAAATCGGGCATAAATTGTTTTCACATTGTTCAAACAATCTTTCCGCCCGATCTGCGTGCGCAGCGTTTCTACCAGAGCAAATCAAAGTTTGGCGCAGTTCACTAACATTCGCCGCGCGCAAAAGCAATTCTATACATAAACGCGTGTTCGTATTGCACACGCCGCATGTCGAACATGAATATCGACCGATTCGAACGTTTATGCGAATTTTATTGCAACTCAGCGAGCATGTAGTCGTCTGGCACTCTGAATTAAAAGCGTCACGTGCGACTCGTGACGCAAATCGAGTTCCACATGAACGATTATGTCATTTTCACTGTGCGGCAGGCACACCGCTTCTTATATATTTTTTCGGTCGATTGTCAATCGCCCAACAAACGGCATTATTTATGCGCGCCGTAATTCGATGCGGTGGAATCGTGGGCGTACGAAATAATTACGACGCGGACGTTCAGAAAACGCCGCGGCGCGAAGAGGTAGAGCATCGTCGTCGCGCGTTCAATTTTAAAATCATCTCCGCAGCATTACAGTATAAATAGGCGATTTTATTATGTCGTCTGCGTCGCTATATCTGCGGTTTTGTTTGGGTGCCATTTTCATCGCGCGCCGACGTGCGGCCGGCGCGTCGCGACGCTGTCGACATTTTTGGCCGCCGGGTAACGATTCGTGAATCTAATTCGGGATACGCGGCGCGCGACGTTAGGCGTGCTAGTGTAAAACGTGGAAGAAAAACTATGTCTGGACGGCAGACAAGGTGCGTTCTATTGTAAATATAATTCCTTCCTTCGCGTCGCTTACAGTGCGTAGTAAAAACGTGACATAACACACGTCTCGCACGAGATGCCGACGTCCCGATTCATTTTCGACATAAAATGATTGTCTGGAGAGAAATCGTAAAAAAGAAAAATTTCGGATTCGGAAGTTATTCCGTTTCCGAGCGTTTGCGCAATGCCACCCACCATATAACCGTATGGATTCGAACTCAACACAAACAAGAAATAAATACACAAAGTTCAGCGATCAGCAATTGATAATCGGTTTCTGCCCGCGACATGCATTGGACACCTGTGGACGTGGATGTATGTCGTCCGGGTACTCCATGCACGTCCTACGCGATTTACCTAAATTGATACTCGACGCTTGATGACGACTTTCTATGCGTCTCGCCGCCATCGGGTCATAAATCGTCACTCAAACCATAACACGTAGGATACTTGCAATCGCGATGGATCTTTCGTATTGGGCCTCCATTCATGAATAAAATGCACATGAAGCACGGCTCTCAAAAGCGCACGCCATATGGCGGCTGCGCGAGCGCACTTTATGGTCAATTCGCTTGAGTAACGGCCATACAAGCAAATCGATTTCTATTAAACATATTCTACACATTTTACTCTTGTGCATAGAACGTTAAACTCCACCGTACAAAGTTTATCGAACATTTTTCAAATAATTCACGATGCTGCAGGAGTAGTAATTCAGCGCGACTCTCGACTGGAATCGAAAAAGAAATTTAGCGAAGGCGGAATATAATCTATGTATGTGTACACAAAGAGTAAAGAAACTCAGAAACGGTGGGTGTCGAAAAAGTCCTCCAATTGATGGGATGTCGCAATTGCGTTACCATCGCTGAATGAAACGCGAATGAATGAAACAATTAAGCTAGACGCTAGAAAGGAAAGCCTCGGAGGAGCGTGCAGGTGTTATTTTCGAAGTGCAACTATCGACCTACGCGATTATCTCTTTCCAATCAATAATCTCCAGCATCCGAGCACGTTTTCACACATTGATTTCAAGATTTCCGCGCAACAGATGGTTATGGCTGGGCGAAACCAAACAAAACAAATTGTAAATAAAATTAGCATGCATGACAATATTAACCTCTCTGGCATGAAATGATTACAGGTGATCAAAGCCGAAACCATCTGCGGAAAAACAAACACGTCTGCAACTCTCGTATCAATTACTTAATTAATCGAATCGCAATAAGTGATCTTTTGTATTTGATGTCAACACGTAATTAAATGCTAAGCTTCCAATCATCTTCACCCGTCGTTAAATCGCACGCTTTAAATGTAACAAACTGCATTCGTTTGCTTCCTGCAAAGCGAATACGTGTGCGAACCGCCCTTGATAACGCAAACGTGAATTTGAAGCGACGTGTTGTACGCACGAAAATAGAAAAATAAAGTGCGGCCGGCGAGAACCGGGGCCTGGGCAGTGAAGAAGACACGCCGACATTCGAGGAGAAAAGAAATGTGAGCCCGGCGCCAGCATTAGGTCGGGCGCGCACACATAAACGGCGCGTTTACACCGACACGCGGCGATCTGGTCTCGCCAGTAATGAGAAATAACTCCAAATCTCGTTTTTTTCCCTCTGTTTATTGCACCGAACTTTACTACTAACTAACACTTACTAGCCACACGCACGCATTCAGTTGTGCCTAACGCAACAAATTTGCAAACGAATAAATCATAATCAGTACTGATAAAACAAGATGAATAATTACCGAGGTCGCCAATCCAGACCATTTCCGACACGATGCTAGGACAAACGCGTGTGCACAATTTCGAATCACCACCGACACTCGCTGAATTAGCGCGTTTTACGGCCGAATTTCAATCACACCACTAGCTGCTTAGCACAATGCATCGTCGTAGATGTCGAAGACGTCTTCGGGAGCGAAAATGAAGCCGCAGCACGGACACTGTCTTAACGACTCTCGATGAAGACTGAGCCTGGAAATGTGCTTAAGCCGGATCGGCCCGTGGAGACCGGCCATCGCGTCGCCGAAACGCAGGCAGGCAATAAAGGGACGACCAAACCAGAATAACGACGAAAAGACGAAGGTAAGATTGCGCCGGGCAGCATGCACCATTGTACGAGGACGGAGAAGAAAAGAAGCGGAGCACAATAACGACTGCAGGTTCGTGGCGTTGTTCCTTGTCTCTGGCGTGCGCATCCGACAGAGATAGCCGCGAGCTCTTCACGAGATCGGTCGTGGCGATGGTAGATGCTGGGGCAATTGATCCTCGAGAGGAGGTGTATTGTCCGTGGCGCACATGGCAAAGATCAAAAATGAGACGGGAAGATGCAGGTACCAACTCGCAAGAGAGCTAGCTAAACATACGCAAGCCGGCGCATACACGGCGTGCGATTGCATCGGCTACGACGTCAAAATATACTGTGTGGATACGGAAAAATTGCCTATTACAACCACAGGTTCACCACACGCACGACGCACGAGTAGACGTTCGATACCAGCGGATTAGGATTATTTACAAGTGTTTGATTTGACGGACGCGAATTCAACGCAATGGTCTGCGCGAACAATACGCGGGGTTACAGCACGACGTGGGTAACATGCTGCGGGAGACGATGGATGATGGCTGGTGCGATGGAAGAGAAGAACGGCGCCAGGTATATGAGACGTGAAATGTGTTTGCGTCGAGGATCTCCACTTCGGGCTCGGGTCGCTAGCGGTCCGTCTCGCTCACTCCGGCGACGATGGGCCCGACGAAACTGGCTCTTCGTTCACTGCATAGAGTCGAGAAAACCCAGCACACACGCGCACTGAGGGCCCCTCGAGTATGTGATGGCGAAGATAAGTATGCCTGATATAAAATGCGCCGAGAAAATTGTAAATCGTACGGGATGCCTGCGAGATGCAAACGAATTCGAGGCCGAACAGATAAAAACGGGAAAGGAACGAAACGAATGCTGCGCGCCGTAAAAATCGTGGATAAGGGATCAAAAATTTAAGCAATGAGATGTGACCAGTGCGTGCATACTACATGCATGTTGTCTAGAATTACACTGTTAAATCTCAAGAGATTCAAAACCAGAGTCAAACTTAAAACAAAAACTTTTGATGGCTGATTGCAAGTGTCACAAAGTATTCATTGATGAGCAAGTAATAATTGTACAAACTTGCATTGAACTTGAATTAAATACTATAACCGGTTTCTATAATTGTGTGAGGACCAAATGCGTGCGTAATTCCTTGATTTAGTACTTTCCATGAAAAAATGCCCGGCACGCATATTCATTAAATCAATTCTTGCACCTTTCGAGAAGAACATTTGAACTAATTTAATATTATGTATGCCTTTTTGCAGGTAGGGAGCAATAATCGCAGCGCTGCGTTTAAAACCCGACAAAGTCGTTAATTGCACGCGTTTGGGTAGCGTGCGCGCACATGAGACTCGAGGACCATTATTATCATATTCGAAAATAACAGGCTATTAACGCAGAACGATTTACCAAGGTTCAACGCTATTTTGTGTCCGTATCCAGTGCAACAGTGACAGAAATACACACATGCGCGCGTAATAACCGCCAACAATATTGATATGAATAAAATGTCATTCGCTTATTACGAAAATATTACTAGGTGAACACATACCGTTGGTTTTTAGCTCTACGCATCAACTTCTTGCGTCTGTTATGATGTCCCATGTCGATTGTTGATTACCTATTATCTAGCAATCACTACACTGATAAGTGTCCCACGCGCGATAACGTCGCAACTCGCCCAGTTTTAAATTGATTACTGTGTCTAACAAGTGTTCGTTATCACATCCATATCAGAGAATGAGTGCTTTAAAAT